CAAATTTCCAAATTTGTTGGACAGTCTGGTTATGATAGCGCAGCAGCAATTTTGTTACTTCTCCTGCAGTGTTGTCTGGAGAGTTCTAGTGCTCGAGTCTCCGTGATGACAGATGTTTGGCACTTGCTGGGTTGAATTCAACATCTGACTAGAAGAGAATTCTAATGGCCAGTTGCTCTCAACAGTAGTTTCCTGTGATTTCTCTGAAAAATACAGTTTAATTCCCTACCAAACAAACCACAGACTCCATACAATAGTTTTTTTCTTTCTCCTTGCCTCCTCCCTTCCCTCCACACACACACATACAGACTTACATTCGCATGCTAGTTTATACACAAACACATCCATGCATGCGCACATGCACACACACACACACACATACTTACATGCACTACACTACCACACGTATTGGGAGACTAGTCAGGAGCCTACAGCTTTCCTGGCTGGAATAGTGGCCCCCTGAGAGAGACATGTGGCGGAAAGAAATCTCTGCACTGCTGATTGGCCCTGTTGCATCTGTTGTTCCATTAGGGAAGGAAGCTCCCAGTACCTGGCATGTAACTTGTACTCAACTTATGGATCTCAGTGGTTGACCTGGCCAGAATCACTTACTCACTAACAGCACCATTTAATTGTGAGTATTAGCAGTTGTGTACACTTCGTTTGAGTTCACTCCCAAATTGTGCATTGGAGAAAGGTATGATAATGGAAAAGTTATAAAGGGACACTACAATTAAAAAGTGTTTTACTTGAAAAGGCTCTATACTGATAAAAAAGATAAGGCAAAAAACTATACATCGGTTTAGGAAATGGATTTATGTTATGTTATGTTTGTGGTGGTTCTTATCAGAAGGGGATGCATGTTTACAGGAATCTGCATGAAAGAATAATTTGTATTGGGTGAATTTTGACCTCTGGATAATACCTTTTTCTTTCTTTTTTATGAACAGAAACAAGTTTACAAGAGCGTAAGAAGGGTAAAAAACCTCCAAATGAAGATGATGATGACCTTATTCGCAGTTACACAACTGTCTTTGTGTATATGACTTTTACACGCCAAGGAACGTGACAATGATGGCTGTGTTCATTTTCAATTCTCTCAGGTTGGAAGTTTTGTGAAGTTTTTCTGTGATGAAGAAAATCTGGATTTGGGAATTTTAAGACCCAATTTACCTTACTGCCTGAGGTAAAATTTTGCCTTGAAAAGAGATGGTTTTGAAATATTAGTTCATGAAATGAAGACTTCTAATTGTAGTCTTATTATAATCTTCATTTTGTTTTTTAGTTTTCTTATTTTATTAATTTAAACAGGAAATTGACTTGATAAAAAACCTGTTTATAAATGTATCCTTATGACTAATCAATCTTTTTTATAGAAAAGGTTTTCTAAAAACATTATACAAGTGCTAAAAATTAAACAGTTTGTATGACATTCAAGTTCATTATTTGAAATTGCATTAGCTGTTTAAGAAATTTCTTGATATGTAATGAAAATTTATGATTGTAATTTGTCAATAAATTTTATTTGTGCCTCAAAGAAATGGATAGCAGTATTAGTGGTTTTATTTTAATTTTAGAAGCATTTCATTTTAATTTTTAAAAAATACATGTAGATTTATAATTTCAATTTTTATTTTATAAATTTGTATCAATTTTGTATTGGATTAAAATATCTATTGATTATAGACAGTCAATTTCAAATATAATGTTTTATAGCTTGGCACAATGTTTCACAGATAAATTTGTCCCCTGCGTCAGGTGCAGCATTAAATAATAACAATAAATAATCCTAAAATTGCATAAATTTTGTTCAAGATTTAATAAATGGAAATTCAGATTCACCTTATCTTATCGTTGAGAATTTTTATTTTTATCAATATAGCATCATAAACTGTGATAAAAATATTGCATTCCATGTTGGAATTTATTGTTTTGTTAATTTTTGTAAATAATGATTCTGAAATGGTTCTTGCTCCTTTTCTACTTTCTCGATCATCAATTTTAGGATTTTTAAAATTTAAATAGTGTGATCATTCTGTTCTATGTTAAGAATTTGAATTTTGTTTCCAAACAGAACAGAAATATCATATAATGTTGATTTTAAACATCCTTAAATTGTTGATCAAGAAAGTAGAAAAAGAGCAAGAATCATAATTTACAAAAAAATAACAAAATAGTAAATTCCAATGTAGAATGTAATATTTTTACCACAGTTTATGGTGCTAAATTAATAAAAATTAAAAATTTCAACAATGATATGATGAGTCTGAATTTTCATTTATTATATCTTGCACAAAATTTATGTAATTTTAGTGTTATTCAATATTTATTGTTATTATTTGGTAATGCACCTTGAAGAAGTAGACCAATCCATCTATGAAACATTGTGCCAAGCAATAAAACATTTTATTTGAAATTGACTGTCTATAATTAATAAGTATTTTAATCCTATATATTTAACAGGCGGTCATAAATATAACATAATTTGTATCAATTGTACTAGTTTTCTTTTATAAAATCTGTAATGATTTTTTCTTTAATTTTTTTCTTCCATCTGTAAATAATTTATCCTTGATAAAGAGGGTAGGAAGATCTTTAAAGTATTATTACATAGGGAGATGAATTAGAATGAATGAACAAACCAAAAATGTTTGTTTAAGAGCAAAGAGGAGATTTTGTTTGAATTTGGGCTCAGAAACCATATCTGCTATTCTATAAGATACTAAGTACCTATAGATTTGTTGTATCATGATTCCTGAGCTCTTGCTTTGGGATTAATCTTGGAATTTACTTGTCTGTGATTAAGTAGTTCCACGTTTTAACTCTTACCAGTTTGCTAAATTCAGAAATAGTCTGAAAACTTGCAGTTCTTGCAAGTTCTAATTCTGAGAAAAACTTTGTTATTTTTTTACCTTATTACAAATTTGCAATTAGCATATGAAACAAACCCAGATCATGTTACAGGATATTGATAATTTTTTCTGGTATATTTGGAATAAATATTTACTATTATTATTTTATTATTATTATTTGAGACTTGATAGTTTAGGTGACATAAAATTCAGTTAACTATTTATTTGTGTGGTATATAAAATCTTTTATAAAATTTGTGCCTCCCATATTTTCTGTGGGCATTCTTCAATGTGTATGCATGCTAGTATGGGAAAAATTATGGACCCGAAATTGGTCTTCATCAGTTTTTATCCTTCAATCACAAGTGCATATTCTGTAATTGCAGTTTAAAATTGGGGTCCTTCCAAAAACTTCATTACTTCTTTTCCATCATTTTTTAATAATTTTTTTAATGTTTTGTAGTTCCAACTTGAGATTTAACTGAAGAGATTCTGCCCCTGACAGATCTCTCAGGTACATCATACTTTACTGAGAATGTATTTGAGGAAATGTTACAGTAGTAGCCCATGCACTTCCCTTAAAAGGCAAGAAGTTCATTACATACACTATTTCTTATGAAGCATGCAACAAATTAAAGTCCATTGACTTCCAAGGGGATAATAGAGAAATATCTCTGTTTGATTTACTCCTTTATGCTGATTTTCACCCACTTATTCAGATCAGTGAGATCATCTACTGTAGACACCATCTTACTACTGGCATTTCAACAGTGAAGTTGGAGCACCTGGACTTCCAGCCTAGGACCTGTGTCACAAGTGTTACATTGACATGCATCATATTACATTGACATGCAACACTGTATCCTCTGCAAAATGGCCAAAGTGCTCATGAGCAGTTTCCCATAACCTACAGTGTTATTCTATGACAAGAGTTAACAACGCTTGTGTGCAGGGGCCCTAAGTGACACAATGTATTTGAAAGGGATGCCTGTAGATCAAAAGAGGAGATTCCTCTTCAGGCTGTAGACCATTAAAAATGATTCTGGCTACTGAAGTGTATAGTGACAGGTGGAGGCTGCAACACATGAAAGGGTGAAAGTTCCTCAGAGCAATTTCAATTTTTATTTGAATCATTCAAAAGTGCTTTTAAGCTGACCTGGAAGGTCAAGGTGGTTAAGAGCATATCGACTGTGTCTGGGGTGAAAGTGTCACAGGTTTGAATTCTGGTTGGGAATGGTTGTTTGTCCCTTGTCTTTCATGTATGTGTTGCAGAGGGCCTCACATTCTGCTGACCCCAGATGGGAGGAACTTGCAAGTGTGTTGGTGTCTAATGTTTGGTTGAATATGTTGGGACAAAAAGGGCCCTTGCCCACGCCCCGGCAGAAGACCCTCCGGCAACGACGGACAAAGGGACCGCAGCAGGTACCTGCTTCGGTCCCTTTGTCCGTCGTCACCGGAGGGTCTTCTGCCACGCTTCTGCCGCGGCATGGGATGCCGCCCAAAGGGTAGCCACATGTTGGCTGGAAAAAGTGCTTTTAGTTTCAAACCTGACTGGAAAAAGTTTTTAGTTTCAAACTTGACCAGAGGAAACTCACTACAAACTTTTTCCAATCATTTCAAAGCAAATATTTTTGGTATATCTCATTCAGAAGAAAGTGATGCAAAATGTATTGCTTGTTTCTTGCATGAATGTTGCATGGTCAAGCATCCTGAGCTTACAGTGGGCTGATTCACAGGCAAGTGACTGCAAATTGACTGGAAAGGGATACTAGAGATCATTACCTCCTAGAGCACAATGCCCTGCTGGAAGTGTCAATTTTTTGCCAAGGATTCAATGAATCCACAACAGGAGTCTTATTTCCACAGTTTAAATCAAGAAACAATGACATTAGAAACATTCCAGTGTACCAATTCATTCCTCTGGAGAAAATTGTCAATTCCACCCTGGAGTAGTGATAAAATGCTGTTTCGTTGCTGTCCAAGATATTAACTGATGAATTGGAAATTGTGACCATGATACCTTTGCCCCTGCCTTAAATACAAGGGTAATATAGCTTAAGTCAAAGCTCAATTTGGTTTGGCACATCTGATTGGATCCTTGTATCCCCCTTAGTTACTATAAACCATCCCTTAAGAATATAAACAAAATTGAATTAACAAGTTTATTTGATAATTTACAAAATTGACATTTGTATAATTTGCACAAGTTACAAGAATTAAGGAATTAAGGAATTAGTCTGCTGGTGTCTTTCACAGGAAAGTCTGCTTCCTCTCCATCACTTGTATCTGAGAGATGGAATTGTAGAGGGTCAGTTGAGTCTGGACCAGTTGTGTGAAGTTGTGGTACCTTCCGTGACTGAGAAGACACCACCTGAAATTTAAAGAAATACATTTCAGACCAAAATTTAGAGGAACATTTGCTTAAAGTTTTGAATCCTTTAAAAAAGTTTAAAGGTGAGGTGAAGGTGCAATTACCTCTAGTTCCTTTTGTGGAACAGCATCTGTATCAAGAGGTCCTTTCCTAAAAGCACTGTAGGTACTGGTGATGTATCTTACCCTGAAGAAATTAAAAATTAGGGTTTTTGGAAAATGGAAACTTAGAATTTAAGAAAACAGGAAGCATGTATTTCATCCATGTGGTTTAAGAAGGAAACAGTTCTTACCCTGTAGTAATGTCAGGAGGAGTCAAGTGAATTCTTTTTCTGAAAATGTATAATATTAGAAGAAGTGCTCCCATCACTAAAATGATGAAGACTATTCCTATTACAGGGAAAGCTGCCGTTTCACTGCTTGATTGAGCAGTTGGATAGACTACAAGAGTTGATGTATCATCAACCTGTGGGAGAAATCTTTGTTAAGACCTGACAATTAGGAAAACTATTTTAGAGCAATTTTTATACTAGTTGCATCCTTACCATGCAAGGTGAGTTTTCTGCAACAAGGGATCCATCAGGGCAGAGACATTTAGGATGAGTTGCACCAGAGATGCAGATATGGGAGCAAGATGTTTCACTACAAAGATTGTTCCCTGGAAAAAAAAGAATAAAGTAATTTTTGAAGTAGTGCAATGGAGCATTTTCCATCTATTGGAAAGTGGAGAATTGTAAATTTAAATACCTAATTTTTGTATCTGTTCTTGAATGAGAAGGAAGTTTTGCACATTATATGAATTTAGCTGTACCCAATCACAGAGCTTAGGTTGGCCAAATACTTTGCATTTCGTCAGTCTTCCCAGTTCTGTTGAAATCCAGTACAAACTATCTTCAAAGAATGCTAAACCTGAAGCATATCTTGCCTACAAAATAATACATTTAAGGTTAATTTTGTAACAGGAAAAATTTGTAGAATCAATAATTGAAGAGATTAATTTACTTCCTTATTGAAGACTATATGTCTTCCTTCACCATGGTAACCTACAGCACCCACTATGCCTTCTTTGGTGTCCAACCAGAAAATCCACCTGTGTATTGGATCTGAAGTCAGACCCTCTATAACAGAAGAACCTTCCACCAAGGTGACCGAATTTTCACCGGAAGTTTCTGCCCTTTTTATAATTTCATGTGGTGTGTCAAAATCCAATGTCCTTTCAGTCCAAAATATGTACCTGTATATTTATTTATGGAGTTTAGTGTGAATAAGTTGTGGGACCTTTAAGCAGTCCACTTAGAGCAATTTTGAAAATTTGAAAATATTTCAGTACTTACCCAGCAAGTGGATCCACTACAAGATTTCCAATTTGAGATCCTAGTTGTGCATCAAGAACTTTTGCACATTTTTTTGAATTTAAGTTGCAAACCTTTTAAAAGGTAAGAATGCAGGAGAAGATTAAATATCTAGGTTTATTATTATAATTAGACTATTAGATTCCTTACCTTAATCCACGTTTCATCACCATTTCTATCAGAAAAATAGACATTGTTTGTAATCCAGTCTGCTGCTATTTTTTCTGGGTTACCAAGGTTAGAAATCGATGTTGTAACTTTATTAGATAAAGATGTAATGAAAATATCTCCTCTTCCTGAGGTCCAATATACTGTTTTGTTGGGTACATTGACAGTAATGTCTAGAATGTTAATTCCAGAGTAATGGTGGAGTATGTGAATGTTCTTCAAAGAGTAAGGAGCCATCCTAATTTCGTTACCATTGGCCACAAAGAGGACTTTTGCTAATTCACCTGTTAATATTTTTAGTTTTAAAATAAAACCTAGAAAATTATTCACCAAATGTTGCACAAAATTCCTACCTTCAGCTTTGCAAGATAACCTGTCCAGCCTCAGAGAGTAGCCTTCAGCACAGTAACACTGGAAACTTCCAGGAGAATTTTTACATAGTTGGGAACATACATTTTGTAAACATTCATCATCATCAATACATATTGTTGACTCTGCTCTCATGGAAAAACCTTTATGACAAGAACAAACTGGTCCACTGGGTGTGGGATTACAAATGTCTTCACAAGGGTTTCCATGGTTGCATGCAGTACCTGAGAAAAATTTTGCAGGAGTGAGAAAGTTTGAAAATTGAGAAAGTATAATTTTTAATTTTGAAATACATACCACATTGTCCTCTTTCATCCGAATGATCTGCGCACTGTGGAATATTATCACATGCCTTTGACAGCTCAATACATTCTCCCGAGTCACAACGAAACTCGTTACAAGGCCCTGAAAAGTTTAGTTTTAATATTATTGGAGGAGGAGAGAAGGAGAAAAAAAACCCCCTTTGTAATGGTTCAAAATTCTTAAGTTTATACCTGGGCTGCCTGTGATGCGACCACAAAGTCTTTGTTCTTCATCTGAACCATCATCACAATCTTTCATTCCATCACAGACCCAGAGTTCATCAATACATCTATTGATATCGCACAAAAATTCATGCTTTGAACAACCACCGCAGTTCAGTTCATCTTCTCCTTTCGGACATTCTGAAGAACCATTGCATCTGAAAATTAAGTCTCCTGTAATCTGGAAAGCGATTTTCACATGGAATTTTTAAAGTACAATACTGGATGAAGGAATTGTTACCTTGCTTCTAGTGGAAGGCACAAATTTCGTTCTTTTGGGCATCTGAATTCACTATCTTTGCATTTTTGAGGGGCATTTGGTTCAGTATCTTTGCAACCTATTTCATCAGATTCATCACCACAGTCATCTTGTCCATTGCATTTGAAATGCATGTCTATGCACCGTAGGTTTCCACAAGTGAAATCTTCTGGAGCACATTTAGGCTTTGCTATAATGTTAGCAAGGTTTGAAAAAATTAAGTACCACATCTTTAATTATTGAACTATAAATTAATAAAGATAAACTTACGACAATTTTCATGTTCATCAGATCCATCTGGACAATTTAATTCATGATCACATTCCCAAGATGCTGGAATGCAGTTCCCAGATTTACATCTGAATTTTCCTGGCTGGCAAGTTTCTGTCAATAAAAAAAAATTTGAAAATTGAACTGCTTTGTAGTTCTATAGATTATTACTAGACTTTAGGGCAGAAAGATTAAAACCACCCACCTTCAAAACAATTTTGTTCATCTGAGCCATCTTTGCAATCTTCTTGGAAATCACACAGCCATACCTTTAAGATGCATTCCCCTGAAGTACATTTAAATTCATCTGGAAGAACAGATAAAATATTTATAATACAGAACTCTTGGGGATATCCCTTTTCAATATGCATAGGAGAATTTTTTACCTTTATTACATTCTTCAGTTTTGCAATTGTATTCATCAGAACCATCTGTACATTGTTCTTCATCATCACATTGCTGATGAGATGGAATACAATGACCATTTGCACATCGGAAATATCCTGGTCGGCACTGTTTAGGACAGTCGTTCTCATCTTCTCCAGAAGGACAATCTGTGTGACCATCACACCTGGAATATTCACAAATTGTATAAGAAAATAACTTCAGTTCCAATGTTCTTAAAATTGTGAAGCATTTTAGTAGTGAGGATCTTAAAAAAATGACTAAATGCATAAAGATTTTGCGATTTGTGAGATTTAACTAATTTTCCAAACCAGAACCTGTAGATCTACAACCAGGCTAACTTTGTTTTAGTAAAACTTACCTTTGTTCTGCTAATATGCAGATGTTGTCCATTTGACATCTGTATTTACCATTGTCACAATGTGTAGGAGTAGAACAAGTTTTGTTATTCGATTGCAAAACAAGACCATCAGCACATGCACAAACCTGTGAATTTTGATAAATTCCATGAAATTATTTTCACAAAAAGGTACACCCAAATGAATCACAGTCTTTTAAACTTACTGCTGAGTTGAGAGATGTGAAGCATAGATCACTGCAACCACCATTATCAGTTCTACATTTATGGTCTGGTGGCATAACAGTTCCTCTCCGCGATGTTAATAAAATTTTATCTTGTTTGTTGAACATTTCTAGAAAATTGAAATTTCAGTGAATGTTAGGTATAACTGAAAATTAAGCAAAAATAAGGGTAAGAATTTCACTTGCCTAGTGGAATGCGTTTTACTTTAGTGAATGGTTGAGTCTTACTGCTCCAATATAGATTCAAACTTTGGAAGCTTGTCCAGAAGACATCATTCGCTAGAGTTGCAACTGAACTTGGGTTATCTGACAGTGTTTGAAGACCGTGACGATGGGAACCTGTGGAAGAAAAAAGGAAAAGGGGAAAATGTAATTGGAAATTAAAAATTTAGAGGTTTTTAATAGAATAATTCGAATATTTCAATATTCATGCAACTTCTGAAATATTACGAAGCGTAAACAAGTTTAATAATATAACTATATTGCTTGGAAAGGAAAATCCTACCGTCCATTTCACACGATTCAATTGACCCTTTGCTGGCATCTGCTATGAATAATTCTTTTAGTTGTTGGTCAAAAGCAAGTGTTATCGGACCCAAGACGTTAGTTTCCAATAAATGTATTACACCTGCAGTACCATCCATGTTCATTTTGTCGATGTGGCATTTATTTCCAGTTGGTTTCTTGAAAGCCACGAACATGATGCTGAGGGAAAAAGAAAAAAAAAAATTAACAAAGGGGTTGGGGGAGGGTAAAAGATTTCTTGAAATTATACATGCAATGTCCTGGATTCTCATGAAAGCTGATCACAAATTCAAGTAATTAGTATGAAATGGAAAATGAGAAGGTGGATTAGATTAACACAAATGTTACTCACCCACTTTCTGGTACAAGTACCAAAGCGGAAGGAATCTCTCTTCCTGAAGTCCTGAAGAGGGTCTTTCGTTGCCTTGTGGCCATGCTCATTGCTTCAATGACTTCTCTTTCAATATCACACCAGTAGAGATTGTCAGTCAAGTAATCTACCAAAATAAAATTGAGATGCAAAGTATAACAAGCCCATTATATCAAAAAGGAGAAAAGTTATGAAAATTTGCAGTAACAAAATAAAGTTAAAGTGAAGAATTATTTTAAGTGAGGTCGTACCGAAGTCCATTGAAACGACTTCACCAAGTTCATGAGTTACTATGGGTGTAAGCTCTTCCTCTTGCACATCCAGAGTAAAAATTTGTTTCTTTTCAGTGTCGCTAATGAAAAGCATATCTGGAGAAAAGAATGATAGTTTAGGCATTTGCACTGTATAAATATTCCTATATAATATTACTAGTCCTTACCTTTTACTTTGTCATAAGCAAGAGCTCCTATTTTTGAAACAGATCTTAAAGATGAATGGACAATGTCTTGCTTCCCAAATGCTTGATGTGTGAGGAGGAGCAATTTGTTGCCACTTCCAATGGCAAGTCCTTCAGACTTTTTGATTTCTGAAAGTGAAATTTGGAAGGCCTTTGTTGTGAAGATTGTAAGCATGATTTTTAGGCCCAGGTAAGCGCTTAAGGATAATTAAGATACTAGTCCTATAAAGGGGGGGGGCTGATAAATGTTTTGTAGGACTACTGAAGAGTAACAAAGCCGGAACAATTGTTATGTCACCAGTTCATGTTACATGTGAAGACCTTAATGAGCTATATTTTTTCCACAATGCATAATAAAATTTAGAAATGAGAAAATTGAAGTGTTAGCAGCATTTGTGAAATTCATCAAATGACCATTATGGTATTAAATTATACATCAGAGTTTTAAAATAACAGCTCAATACAATCTGTAAATGCCCTTTTATCTTCGGGAACATTGTGTAAGACTGAACAATAGGGATCATCTATACCTGTGAGGTTGCCAAATTTTTAACTAGGATTAAGAAATTTTAGTATGAGGAATTACAAATTTTTAAGAAGGGGAAAATCTTCAAAATGTAAAAATTAATACTTACCACTGCATGAATGATGGTCTTCATTTAGCATCTTGTTTTCTGGGCATGCACAGGAATAGGAGTTGTTTGGTGCAAGTAGGCATATATCTGAACACTGATCATCTTGACAAGGGTTTGTTAGATTCTGGAACATATATTGATAATTAAGTTGAAGTCATTGAAATGGGAGGGGCAAAGTAAAAATTTGTTAGAATCCATACCTGAGACTGTAAGGCAGGATGATATATACTCAGTCCATAGAAGTAATTATTTCTACTGTGAACAATTTTTCTGATATTTTTGCCAGTGAACTTGTTGCATGCCTGAATCTCGCTAGTTTTGAAGTCTGACCAGTATAGATCTTCTTCAAACACAGCCAAACCAAAGGGATGTTTTATAACTTCGTTTAACACCGTCTGTATAATTAAGTCAAAGAATAATTTTGTGAAAGCAATATTAAATTAAATGTAAATAAGGCCATACTTACACGTCTATCAGTACCATCCAATTTAATGGATTCTACTACAGCAAGTTTTGCATCCACCCAGTAGACCCTTTCATTAGGAATATCCAAAGCTAAGCCACTTGGCCAGTGAATGTTTTGTGAAACAAAAGCATAAGGTGACGATCCATCCATACCAGCTGAAGCCAACATTGGAACACGACCCCAGTCAGTCCAGAACATTAGACTGGAAAATAAATGTAGTTTTACAACTGCAAAGTTCAGAATATTAAGTACAAAACTGCACTTACCCTTTTGCAATATACAAGGCAATTGACCGTGGTGAATCAATATCTTCATTGACTAAACTAGTGCATAATTTGCCATTAGTAGTACAAACTCCTATATGTTTTACTTCTGAATCTGTGAAGTATACATTCTGTGCTAACCAATCTACTGCCAAATCTTCTGGCAAACTCAGTCCTGGAATAAAAGTTATTAATATCTCTTCCTTTGATGTAAAAAGTGTCATAAGGGCTAGAAAATATTACCTGAAGAAACCACCACTTCCTTGTTTGATCCATGTTCATCACTGCGTATAATTGATTCTTCTCCATGATCAATACTTGTCCAATACACATGCAAACCATCATAATCTACACCTGCAATATGTTCTTGATCTTTAGCAATTGAGAAGTAGGTTTGTGATTTTAGTTGCATGGCTCTAATTTCAGATTTTATAGAAAAAAGTAGAAGAGGCTCTGGGTCTGAAAAAATTAAATAGAAAGAAATTTATGAATTATGGCATAGGAAAGAGGGATGGGAGAGGTATTTTTAACTGAGCAAATCTAGCGTTTCATTAATTGAGCATTAGCACCAAAAGGGGTACCATAGTACTGAATTGTATTGTAATTTTTGCACATTAAGTATGTTGAGCAGGTACATTTAATGGAGTATTCTAATTTAAGCATGCAACTCCTCAGGAAGCTGTTACAGTAATCTCTAATATTAGAATTAGCTGAAAATTTAACAATTTATAGTTAAAACTTTGGTATTGACAAGAACAATCTGAAAAGCAAATTCGCAATTTCTTACAGAAAAAAATTAGTTTATAATGTGTAAATTTGAAATTTATGAACTTTAGAAGGAAGATAGTGGCAGTATTTAATTGAACTCTTAACAGATTTGAAAGTTAAGTAACACTATGTAGTAATGGAATTCAAGGTATAGTGACTTAACTTTGGAATATTATATGTAAGAATTCCATTTAGAAAAATAGTTTTATGTAATGAATAGCATTTACCTGTTACTTTGCAGGTTTTGTTGTCCAGTTGTAAGTTGTACCAGAAATCACATTGGCATTGATAACTGCCAGGTGTGTTTTTGCATCTTTGTGAGCATATTCCATATTCATCGCATTCATTTACATCTAAATTTAAAGCAATATTGAAGGGAAAAAGATTAGGAATGGTAATAAACTTTGTACAATGTGGCTTCAGTTAATTCCCAGGAAAAAGTAAAATTCACCTTTGCAGAATTTGCCTCTTGAGATTGTGTAACCTTTTGGGCAGATGCACATAGGCCCATCGGGAGTTGGTACACAGCGATGACCACATCCAAATGTGGTACAATTCAGTTTGCCTGAAGAAAATTGAGGTAATATAAATAACATGTTTTATCTTCCAAGTTAAATTTTTTGAGAATGTTTGGAATTTCAATACTTTTTAGGTCACCACTTTGCTTTCGCAATTTAAAAAAAGGAGTACTAAAATATTATTTTAGGCAATCTTTAGATCTGATCCTATTTTTTGGATTGTTACAGTAAGGTTTTAGTGTAACAATTTAGTACAGTACAGTTTAGAGTGGTGTATTTGGCACAGTGAGTCAGGTTTTTAAGTGCAAGAATGTATAGAACTGGAGAATTTAAATTGTAAGAGAGTATGAGTGAAGGTTATTCCTCTGTCTAGACTTGCTTTTACTGAATTTTTTGAAGTAATATTTTGTACCCATCAGCCTCCATGCACAGGTGTCCCCCAAAAAAGCCGAGTTTGTATACCTTTACTTGGCAAAAAACAATGTTAAAATCTTTACTGAAAATGGTATTATGCACAAAAAAATCTTATGTAATGTTTAACAATGGAAGATGCCCCCTTTACAGTGGGGGACTGGACTAGCTCCTGTACGAAGTTAGGATGCATCAAAGAGGAAACCAGGGCGATATGGTTAGCAAATAGATTTTAATAGTTTATTATGTATTCGTTCACGTCTGAGGAGGGATTCCCAAATCACCAGCCGCTACCAGTCTATTCTTTGTGCGCACGCCGATCGACAAAGCATGTAAAAGATTGTAGAAACGAGACGAGAAGTGCGATACAATGTGATCCCGGTAGGAAACCGAGGAGGAACTTTAAACCGGAATGATGAGCGTTAGGGTTGTGCAGCTGGAAAGTTGTCAAAGCAGAAGTAGAAACCAGTTGCTAATCACTAGAGTTAATGAAATTTTGCCTACATGCGGTCTAATTTGAAATAAAGCCCTATGATAAAGGTGATCGTTTAAAACCTTTTCGAAAAATAGAACGTTAATTTTGCAGTCCAGTACTAAAAGTTGACAAATTTAAAGGAATGTCATTTGATAATTCGTCAAGTCTTTATCTTATTTATACATTGTTGAAAATTAGAATTAAGGCTATTAAATGTCTAGTTTAAAGTAAAATGCACGCGTGACTGGTAAGCCGAGAGCATGTAAGTACTTACTGAAGGAACATAGAGATCCCTCGTCTGATCCATCAGGACAATCTTTCACTCCGTTGCACAATTCAGACAGTTCTGAACAAGTTTTGCCGTCCCTACAAGGATAGAGTCCTCTTTCAGTGGGGCACCTTTCGGTGGCAGGTGAGTTGATGGCCGTATCGCCTGAAAGAAGATATTTAAGTTTTATACCTAAAATTAACGAGGGGAAGGAATTTGAAGCAAATTTGTCGGGCTACAGACGGGGGTTCAATTATATGAAACCCGGATTCATTAGTAAATCATGACGAAATTTTGTAGTAATGAAACAATTTAACCACGTATTCTTATACTTTGAAGAAATATTGAAATCCTTATGAAAAAAAAAAAAGTTATGGAAATTACATTAGAATTTACTTTTAACAGTATATTGATGGAGTTTGTCAGATATGAAGAAAATGCATGAAATAGATGTATAGTATATTTTAGAATGCAATGCAACTGAAGCAGTGGGCCCTCGTGCCATGTGGTCTTCAATACCCATGAGGTATTTAAGACTTGTGCTCGACTTGGTACAAGTTTTTTACGAGTTAATACACAAATTTGTCATAATGTAATAAGGATAGCCAACAGCCCTTTGAACATCCAAAACCAATTCGATTTTACAGTGGTAAAATATTTACTTTTAATGGAGAAGAGTCGTTGCAAGCTTTACGTAAGCTAGGTAGGCTTTAACGTTACGGACGAGTTGCAGGGAAGAGGGTATTCAAAATAATTTTATGGTCTGTTTTAAGAAGTACATCTTTAAAGCAATGGAGAATTACTCAGGCAGGTTCTAAAATATGAGCAGTTTCTGCATAGATTAGAGAATGTTATTGTTTACTAGATTGAAATTCGTAGGTTGTTAAACCTAAGCTAGAATTAGGAGCATTTCATTACTAAATTTGAAAGCAGTGAATGAAGTAACGGGTCGCTGAATTTTTGGGGGAAGTTTTGAATCAATCACAGAGCCAGCTAAGTTATGGAAATGTAAAAAACCATTGGCCCGACAAGATCGGCAAAACACGCCCGTTTCAAATTTAAGAAATATCGGGCGGAAATCTTTCATGAAGATTTTCCCAGAAGTACGAAATATTAAAAGGATGGATAAAATGCATTCAACTTACGACAGCGCAATTCGTCGCTTCCGTCCAAACAGTCGTCAGTGCCGTCGCAACGCCATTCCCTGGGGATGCAGTGATGGTTGGCGCAAAGGAACAGATGCTCTTCAGTGCATTTTAACTAGAAGATCATAAAATGGAGTCTACTTAGTTTCTCAAAATCCATTCGAGAATTTTTACGAGCTAATGGGCGGTACGAGTCCATGCAAATTTATTGCCGGGTGATTTGTGAAAAAAAGAGCCTGGTAGACCAAAGAGTTCCAAACTACTCCTAATATTGGGAGTAATGCGAACCAAAACTTCAATTATAAAAGTTAAATTTCTAATTTAGTTCAAGAAATTTTGTAATTTCGAAAGAAATGTGAATTTTATTAATTTCACGAAAATATTTTAAAAGAGTAGAAAGTTTGGAAATTTTATAATCCTCAATTTCCAAATCTACAATTCTGAAGACTGACCCCTTCATATTTGAATCTAATTGTAGGCTGCGAAAATTTATAGAACGACGCTACCTGGGCCGTGCATCCTACGGTTTCATCGGAACCATCTAAGCAATCATTTTGACCATCGCATCTCCAATGGGCTGGTACGCAGAGGTTGTCTGCACAACGGAATTCTTCTTCTTTGCAGGGGGTGATGGGAGGCTTCTGTAAGATAATGTAAACAATAAAAGTTAAATTAAAAAATACATACACATTTACGAAGGTATGAACCATTTCCATTTTCGCATAGAAAAATAGTTTTTTAAAGTTTACTCCGGAACGTAGGGGAAAGCATTGGTTCCAAAATCAACTTACCGCAATATCATGAAGATTCTCTACTTAAAAAAATGATAAAATATTTAGGCAAGATCCGTTAAGGGAAAGTTCTGAAACCTAGCTTACCTGTGTACAGTCGATCTCGTCAGAACCGTCGCCGCATTCATCCTCGCCGTCGCAAACGAAGAGGTGAGACATACATTTGCCATTTCTGCAGCGAAAGTAGTCTGGTGGGTGACACGGTGCATCTACGAAAAGATGCGTTTATTTTCATCTACTGTATTTGAGAAGTTTTGAAATATGGAAGTTGGGTGAAATTAATGCGAATGAATGTGAAGTCCTCTCCGCCGTGCACGTTACGATAAATTTTTAACGAGGTTCTTATGACGTCCTAGTCCTAATTAAGAGATTGAACTAAAGGAATTTAAGTTTGCGCATTGTCTCACGAACAGAGAAGGAACATTTTCCTATTAGAGGAAAATAATGCACGTTTAAGGGATGCAAAAACTTTCCTCGCTTATTTTGCAATTCTGTAAGTGCGCGTTCTTCCACGAGCACGGAAAGTACATTCTAATAAAGATTTTAGCTTTTAAGGGGAGGTGGGGGCGAGTTAAAAGTGTTCCGGGAGTTTACTTTCTCGAATGACCTAGGATGAAGCGTTGTCATTTTGCCCCGAGGGGGACTCACCGCAGTCTTTCTCGTCACTCCCGTCCTTGCAGTCGTGGTGGCCGTCGCAGAACTTCGCCTGTCGCAAGCATTCTCCGTCGTAGCAGGACAGGAACCCCGGAGGACAATGCACCTGCGCGCTCACTCCTGCAACAGGTCGGTTGCACACGGAGTCAATCGCATGAAACATCGATTACTACAGCCAGATATTCAGATCAGGACACACATTGGGGTAGTCTACATCTAGAAAATTAAAGTATTTTTTATCATTGCCACAAAACTCGTTTGAAAAACTCTGGCCCTGCACTAAAAATTCCCGTACAATTTTAAGTGACCAAATTCAAAATTTGTTGAATGTTCGACATTCGTAACCAAGAAGGTAGGGTACCCGAATTTATAATTATTCCCGCCGACGTTTTCACTGTGAGAAGAAAAAGCGTAAAGAAAAATGCAAATAAAAACCAAAAATTAGCATTCATTACTTTACGTCCAATCGTTTAACTTTAGATACAGAAAAAATTTACATCTAAACCTGTTAAATCCATGGAAGACTAAGTACTACCTATGCATTTTAACTTCATAAATTAGTTGAAAGGTTTATGAAATTTACAACTGCACTTTGATGAATTTTAGCTTCAGTCATTTCGGTCCTCCTAAGCCATCTCCACAAAATTTTATAAGCGGTGTATTTTTCCAGTAAAAAAAATCCTCGCAAGTTCACCCTTAAGTTTCCAACAGGGCTGCGTTAGATGCGTTAGATCTGCTTACCGTGATTCGCGTCGATCGCCACCAGGAGCAGTAGCAACGGCAATCCCAGCATCGCCACAGTCTTTGCTGCGGCCTGATCGCCGCCCAGGCCCCGTCTCATGGTCCCGAGCACCTGCAGCAGTCAGCCTCCAGAAACAAGCCCTCTACCCCGCATCGTGAAATTTAGTATTAAATGAAACTCCGAAAGTTATTGCAGTGTAGCACGTTATTCCAACCCAGCATCAACATGTGGAAATTTACAGTTTTAAATTTTTAAAAGATTGAAGGTTTTACGGGAACTTTCACATTTAAAAAATATGAATGCGTGAGCCCCGTATTTTAACGAGTCAATTTTTGCTGCTGTTACGCGGATAGGGAGCCTAGTATACACGCCGTTTGAGTATGCATTTCATTCCAACCGCTTATAACTCACCAAGCGAGTTGTACATAAAGTCTTGTTTTTATTTTTTGTCCTATTACGAAAAAGTATAAAAGTTAAATGCACAACACAAGTTACAAGCACTACACTCCCGCTACACCTAGTTTCGACCGTTTATAACTCAACTATACGAACGCCAGCCGTTGCGTGAATTACCATTACTCCAGATGCATTAAGTGGGCGTAACGGTAAAGGATTGCAAAATAAATAAAACCGTGCCGACAAGCGCCAAGCAAACCAGCGAAGTGACTTTACAACTATCTCAAGACGAGACACGTTTGGGAAGTTTAGTTTCCCCCAGTTTTTCGAATGTCCTATCCAAAAGGTGACCGAGAATTTATCAGTTTTCAAATTAGGATTTTAAATTTAAGATTGAACTAACGAAGCGCCTCCTTCCACTTCCTTCTATGCGATTATGCTAGAAGAGTCGCAACGAGGTAGAATATTTAGCATTGTACGATCGTTGCAAAAGCATTCCATACATTTCGTATGTCTCGTTACATACACGTTTTAAAACCCGTCTGCAATACCAGTGCTAACGTTTCTCAGAAATAATACTACAGTTAGTTATCTTTGACTAAGTTTGCCGCAAGGCCCCACACCTTTTCGTTCTGTTTATAGCGAGGCCACAATCAGTTTTGCTGGCCCTCTAGAAATCGCGGCGGAATCCGTTTGCCTTATTTCAGCTAGCTCTGCATGGCACAGAGGACCTCGGTGCCTCGAGTACAGTGAATACGCGAAGCAAGCAATTTTTGTAAAGCAAGTAGAACAGCTCTTAAGGTGAACTCCTCACACAGTTTTTACTTAAGATTTGATTTTGGAAAAAAATGCCAACTCTCCCTATTCCTTTTTTGTAGTTAACACGAGAGTACCGTAATCTGAAGTTTTTTTACTTATTGAAAACCTACAAGTTATGTGAACATTTAAACCCGTCAGTAGTTTTAAAAAGTGCAAACGAATCTATCCATTTCAGATGCTATTTATGAAATAAACGAAAATAAAAATACTAATTACTCTTTGCACTATGACAATTTCCACAATTATAAATTTCTAGATCGAAAAAAA